TGTGTCTTCTGTATGTCAAGCGTGTGCCTTATGTGTGTCTTCTGTGTATTCCGTGTGTTTTACATGTGTCTTGTATGTGTCTTGGATAAGCCTTCCGTGTGTCTGGCATATCTCTCATGCATGTCTTTTTCGTGTCTTCTGTGCGTCTTCCGTGTGTCTGTTGTAAATAAGGTGCTCAGCTTTTATTACGCAGACTTGAGTGTGACAGTTTCTTCCGTGACTCTCAGCCTTGCCCCACTTCCTGCACGAAGGATAACGGTGTCCTGGAAACCCACGTTCTTGTCGCGCCATTGAACATGTTCCTCTCTGGGTTTGACTGGAGCAAAAAGTTTCTGCCTCACCAGGCTGTCACATACCCCCCCACACACACCCCACGCCCCATCACAGGACGTGTGTCTCCCCCTCCCCTCATCTTCTGAGATTATTCCTGGAAAAATTCCATTCTGAAATCCACCCGCTAGCAGATGTTGCGTTTCAGTACCTTGGAGTAAAGACTCACCTCAGCTGGTGCTGTAGTTCAAGGTCAGGACACTCTGCTCATATCAGAAGGTGAATTACCCTGATTATTGATTGCTTTAGGAATGTTAACACATGCAGCTGTAAAATGGCCCTCCCAAGCTTTATTTTTCCCATAATCTCCGGGAAATGGAAGGTCTCTGTGTGCTCTTCCTGGAGGCAGATTGTTATCAGCACTCGTGGCAGGTGTGGAACCGCCTGACTCCCATTCAACCTCCCGTTTCTCACGCTGGAGGGATGATTCACGGCGGCCTCGCTCATGCAAATGAGCGACCCGTGGATCCACCGAAGGTCCCCAGCTGGTTAGCATCGCATGCTAACTAGGTTGCAAAGGGCCACCGGCAATTCAGCTCTCGGTGCGTCTGCGTGTGTTTGTGTGCGTGTTTGTGGGCATAGATGCTGGTGGACAAGAAGCTTAATAAAAGAATTATGGCACAAGCGGTGCAGCCACTAACCGTGAACGGTCACTCCCTCCTCTGACAGGGCCCCCCGGCCAGGTGGATGGTTCCGAGGCGCCGGCACTTCCGGACCTGGCCCCCCTGGTGATACTGAGACTCACCGAGTCCCTGGAGAGAGATGGTGAGTCTTCCCCGTCAGCCAGGATGAGCCCGCAGCACCGTGCGAGCCTCACCCCTCACCCTCATGTTTATTACCCATAATCCATCATGGGTGTAGCGCAGATCATGAGTATTAAAGAGCGGAAGACATCTGAGTTCCAGCCTCTTTATCATTCATATTATTTAAATTTTACTAAATATATGTTTGATGCATATTTATCAGGACAAACCAATATCAAAGTACAGACCAGTTTAGTTCTGTTATGTGCATAAATCATAACATCAAAAAAAATGATGCTTTATTTGTTCAAGTGTGAGTACAGGTACATTGGAATGCTGCTTTTAACGTATCCCATCATGCTCTGCTTTGACACACACACATAGAGCTGAGAATGGAGCTTTGGGTCCAAGAGCAGAGTAAGACATTTATCTGGCGCCCCTGGTGCATTTTTCAGGGGGTTAAGGGCCTTTGCTCAAGGGCCCAGTGGAGATGCGGCTATTTTGCTAAAGATGAGATTTAAACCGGCAACCTTCTGGTTACAGGCACAGAAGCATAAGGTTATAAAGACAGCACTTCAACACTCGCAGGTGGACACTTTGTCTTCTGTTGAGTCCTGTTAATCTCGTTTGTCCTCCCTTCGTGACAGGATGGGAGAGCGAGGCCCTCTACAGAGCCCCCCCTGCCTCCTCCGGACCCCCAGAGTTACGGCAGGCCTTAGACACAGGTTTGTGCTAGCCCTCATGTGCTTACATAATTTGACAAGCTGTAATTCAAGCAAAGACCTGCTGTCTATACGCCAAGGTCTAAATGTGAAAGGGGCAGATGCACAATGCAGATGAATGGACTGAAGACATGACAGCAGTACGTCTGACATGCCAAAATTGCAAGACTGGAAGTAAAGTTTTGTGTTGGAGTTTATATAACCACCACAAGGGGGCGCTGCGGTTCAGCTGACAGTAGGCAGGCTTCACTTTTTGGGTCTAAAGGCAGAACTCTTCCGATTTTTATGGTGAGGAATGGCACCACTAGAGCCACCAGGATTGGACTTTGCACCGATGAATTTTGTGCTGTACAGTTAACCAAGCGGCAGAACGGGCTTCTGCTGTGAAATGTACTGAGTCACCAATCCATTTCCTTTTTATGTGTAGACCCCCATTGCATGGGTAACCAGAGCAGCATCAAGGTTACAGGCTCAGGTGGAAGGAAAGACCATGACATTGAGCCGAGTTCAGCCTAAATTCACACGAGCAGAGCTACTCTGCTCTGTTTACGGTCCAACGCGTGTAATTAGAAGTGACTTGTGCTGCCAAGGGTCTGCTAGACATCTGCTACGCATGAATCTGAATGAGAATACGGGCAAGCTGTTGAACCTTGGTGTCCCTAGTGGAAATGAAAACTCTGCACAGTATAATCTGACACCCAGTCGGAGTGGGCCTGGGCTCCGGGTCACGTGAAGGTTTCACATCTGATCATCCCGGACTGTTACGGGATCGGGAATTCGGCTTGCAGAAAAGGAAGCTTCGGAAGTGATTCTCACAAATAGGCTCTGGCAGTCCTGTGGAGCTCACTGTCCGTCCCATGGGTCAAAGTTGAAGCAGGAACAGACTTCTCTTTCATGGATGTTGTTTTAATTTTAGTTGATTTTTTTTATTTTGGGTCTGTGGTTCCCCTTGTTATGTAACCAAAGGATCCTAATGCAGGGACCTGCATGGCTAATTACACATTCCCTACTTCCTGGAAGCAGATGGAAGGTGCCAGCTGTTACATTTCCAAGGTTGCATCCAGTTAAAAAGTTCAGGAACCCGGAGAAAAAAGCCGCCTGCCGTCTCCCGCTCTCCGTAGTCATGCGGCCTGACAGCTTGCGTTGTAGTTAAGCCGATGTTTTCCATTTTCTGTGTTTCCCCCCCAAATAACAGTGTTATGCTGGCATTTGGCAGCAGTAAGGGGGGAGGGGGCAGCCACCCAGCTGCCAAATGGAAATGCTAATAATAGCATGATAATATTACCATGAGAATGTTGTATAATCTTCTTCCTGACAAGACGGAAAGAACATGCTGGAAAAGCCATGAACATGTGTATATGGTTTAACTCGCTGTAAAATGTTGGGGGGGGGGGGCAGGTTCCTAGGCCTTGGGAGGGCTGGCTCCACCTTTTTTGTTCGGGTCCAGAGTTCATAGTCAGACCCTGATGACCCTGACAATGGAGCCAAGGCCGGTTGAGGTCCATGTGACACCCTAGGCCAGCTTCATCGCCAGCGCCCCCTGCTGACCGCTAAAGCTAATGCTGCAATAAACCCACAAAAGATGGGAGTAACGAAAAAAATAGTTTAATGTACACACCGAGCTAACATTGACACCTCTCCCCTCACCCCATGATGTAAAGGGGGGGGGGGGGGTAAGCATTTCCTAGAGGGGTCTAACAGAAATGGCCAACACTGTTTAAACGTATTAGTGTACATTTATTTGGGGAGGGGAAAGGACAGTTGTAGCACTGCCCTGGTGTAGCCCCTCCCACGACGGCCCCTCCTTTCCCTGTCTGGTTTCCCTACACTGAGGTTCCACGGCACGTCTTTCGTGTTGCATGTCATTTCCCTTAAAGCAGCCCCCCATCCTCGCTACCCAGATAATGTGATGTGCCCATTCCCCCCCCCCCCCCCCCCCCGCTCCCGATCTGGCTGTTAGCCATTCCCGCCCGGAGCCACTCTCACACATGAAAGGCAGCACACCACGTCCCAGGACTCATTCCTGAACATCCCCTCTCCTCAACTGCTGTGCTCAGCCGCTGTGGAGAGATGGACGGACGTCTTCGATGTGGAGCGTGCTTATCCAAGAGCCCCGGGGACCCCAAGTGCCGTCCGAAGCCCCCATCGCCGTTCCTCTGTTAAAATAGAGCCGTCTGTTTATTTACTCAGCCTCCTCCTTTGTTCTCCGGTTTGGGAATAACTGCTTGGATCAGCAAGAAAGGGGGAAAAATGCAGCTGTCATTCTTCATGAATGGACACTTCTGATTGGCTACAGGTGATGTCATAATACGCGATAGTCGATAACCCATTAAAGGTATGCATTTTACTGTCAGCAAGCGGGTTAAACCCTCTCCCTGGCTGCTGAAGTAGTTATATATTTTATTACTGTAATCGGCATCCTGTGTGATTAACAGACACATGGTTAATTGTTACAAAGCAAAGGCGATTTGGGACTTGTATTACTTGGGGGGGGGGGGGAGCCACTCCTGAAAAATCGAAGCTCCTGTTTCTGCTCCTGTTTACGAGGAGGGACATGGCAGGATGGGGGGGTGGGGAAGCCCTGGCCCCGCACACAGCACGACGTACCGCAAGTCTCCTGTTGAACTACCCAGCAGCCTCTGCTGCATCGTGTTGGTATTGTTCTGTGTGGATTGGGGAGGGGGGGGCTGCGTTTCACTGTCCCGCAGCAGAAGCTCCACTTCCTGGCCCAGAGGTCAGCATGTGCGGATTGCGTAATCGCATCTCCTTCTGCCTGCCCCCCCGCCCCCCCGGCCTCCTTCCCACACCCTCCCCATTCGGCATGTTCCAGGCCTTCCGTCACTCCTGCGTCGGGTCCCCGCTGCGCTGGGAGCAGCTTACTCTCCGCCGGGTTTCCTGTCCTGCTGTCCCTGAAGAGCTCTCCTGAATATTTGGCCGGAGGAAGCGTCCCAGCAACCTCTCTGGAAGGTTATCACTCCCGGGAGAGATGGCAAGCTTGGGGACAGGGGGCTGGGATTGGGAGTCAGGAGTCGGTGGGGGGGGAGTGAAAAACGAAAGATATTTGCCTTCATATTTATCCACATTCATCCAAAGTGACGCACATGTGAGGAAAATAGCACTTTACAGACATACGGCTGTCGAGGAGTTGATAAGCATAAGTACATTTAGGCCGAGTTTCCAATGAATCCTCCGGTACGAGTGTCAGCAGCACTGGAGCAGGAGCTACACAATAACTACACAACTGTTAATGAAGTAAGAACCTAATAAGAACCTAATAAGACAACTATTCAAATCAGCAGAAAGTGCAGCATTCAGGGAGCATGGAGTGGTATCAGGATAGTAGAGGCACTCATGCAATAGATGGGGCTTGTGGTGGAGGGGAAATAATGACTGAATGTGGTTCAGCAGCTCATTCCACCATCAGCAAACCATGCATAAGGGCACTGGGCTCCTGTGGGGGTGCATTTACTGGGGGCGACAGAAAGTGGTATAACCCAGTGCTATATGGTGACTGGGAGCCAGTGACAGGTGAGCTGGATAACCGGGCATGTCACATGTACTCCCAGGTGTGCAGAGAGGGCCCCCAAACCCCCCATCCCTCCTCTGGGGGGTTGATGAAACAGCAATCCTAAGCAATTCCTAGTCTTCCCATTCAGTTATTCACTAGCCTGTAATTTTGTGGCTGCAGGTCACATGATTAGACCACATGTGATACAGAGCCAATAGTGTGCGCTTCTCACTTGGCTAGGTGTACCTCTGCGGGGGTGACCACCTCCCTCCCTCCTGAGAGACACTTAGCCGCTATTTTCTGAGCCTGAATCTGTGCCGGTTCTCCACTCCAGGCTTCCCAAATCCTCCATTTTGCTGAGATACTTTTGCTCATCGGAATTCCACTGTTCCGGCCCTTGGAATCGCCGGCCGTTCAGGGCCTTTCCCATCTTACTGTTAATTACCGGCTTCTGCAAACTTCCCCACAAAATGTCAAAATATTTCCCATATACTGTACAGTAGCACTTTTTTTTAAAAAAAGTTATCCATCCAGATGGAAAGAAAGATTCAGACCCAGAGCACCCTAGCTTGGTGGGGGGGGAAGGGGGAGGGGGAAGGGGGAGTGACAGGGGGTTGACAGAGTTCTGGAGGGTTCAGCTCACCAGCAGGAGTTGGGTCATGCAGTCACGCAGGAATGAAGCCTGTCATCTCGTAAAGTTCAGTTCCCCCCGCATCCGTGAGGGCGCTGCCTCACTGGAACCTTCCGCCCGTTCCTGGGGACGGTGAGACCGCCTGCAGAAATACCCTGAGGGGAGAAAGTGGTCTGTCGCATACGCCGGTGGCGGCCGTGTGGCTCCAGCGGGCTTCTGGGTAAAAACCGCTCGGTGCCACTGACGCAGCCGGCGGGGCCACAAATAAATACTGCTGACAGCACGTGAATTCAGAACCGACCGGGCCTGAGTGAACCACGGCCTGTATTTAAGGCTGCCCATTTTCAGTCCTGTTTCTGCAAAATCCCCCACCCCATACCTTTACAAGTGGTGTCACTGGCCGCGGCTGAAAGCCGATTGGCCTCTGGTGTGGCCCTTCCCCTGTCACTCATCGATTCAAAACATCCCATTGGCTACTGAGGTTGGCCCCTCCATATAAATTACGGCCACTCTTATGCCCCCCACCTTAAAAAGTCCTGGCAGCAGCTGAGGCGTCCGCAGGGTGAGCGGGCTTCCCCTCTTCTGGTTTTCTCATGGATAACCGAGGAACACCCACAATCACTTAGTCATTGTTTTTAGTTGGAAATTAGAAAATCAGTGAACCTGAACCTTTAAATAAAAAGAGTGTAATACTGAGGATTTATCAGTGTGTCACCCTTCTATTTGAAGAAGCTGTGGTCATAATGATTATAATTTATTCCCATCTGATGCTTTTTTGCTTGTCTTTTTATTATATGCAGGCAGTTGACTGGGGTATGATCTCCCAGCCCAGATCCAAAGCTGCTGTATAGATGCCCCCCCAGT